ATACATACATAGACATACATACATACATACATACATACATACATACATACATACATACATACATACATACATACATACATACATACATACATACAATCATACATACCAACATACATAAATACATACATGCAAACTTCACAAGCCACTTATGAACGTACCGTCGTGCATGGCTTTTCCAATGGATTTGAGCAGAATCGCAAAGTTCTCGGCGTATTCGGGGCTCTTTTTGGCGTTGGTGACAGTCACTGCCCAATGGATTACATCGGGAACATCCACATCCGCCGCAAAGTGATGGACGGGATGCTGAAGACCGCACAGATGAGGAAATAAGAGCCCGTGCGAAAATAAGCCACAGATGAGGAAATAAGAGCATGTGTGAGAATAAGCCACAGATGAGGAAATAAGAGCATGTATAAGAAAAAGTCACAGATGAGGAAATAAGAGAATGAATAAGAATAAGCCGTCGTAGAAACCTCTATACCATTAATATGACGAAACATATGTGTGAGTGAAATTAAATAACAGATAGTGTGAGAATATGCAGATAAAGAAACTCATTTATGTTTTATATACAGAGACATACATAGGAAGAACCAGAGAAACTATTATATGTTTTATAAACAGAGACATATATAAAAAGAAATTAGACAAACTCGTATAAGTTTTATATACAGTGCCATATATAGGAAGAAATCAGAGGACCTCTTATATACTTTATATGCAGAAACATATTTTGGAGAAAAAAATCAGAGAATGTGTGACAGCAAGCAGATGGAAAAAACGCCATAGCACAAATATGAGGGGACTTGTGAGAGATCAGGCACCATTGCAACACAACATTTGAGCCCGTTTAGATGAGAAAGTTTACGTTAATGTGAGTATAGGTCATAGCCACCCACACGCGGCAATTAAAGTGTATGCAATGATAAGTGTATGTAATAGTAGTATATGCAATAATAAGTATATGCAATAAAAAGTATATGTAATAATAAGTATATGTAATGATAAGTATATGTAATAATAAGTATATGTAGTAATTAGTATATGTAATAATAAGTATATGTAATAACAAGTATATGTAGTAATTTAGTATATGTAATAACAAGTATATGTAGTAATTAGTATATGTAATAAGTATATGCAGTAATAAGTATATGTAATAATAAGCATATGTAGTAATTAGTATATGTAGAAAAAATGATAGCGAAGACGTAAGGAAATACCTGCGTGTATTATAAGCAGACTTTTACAGATGACTTCGAAGGAGAGTGCTTACCAATGAGACTAACAGATATAAGTAACTGTAAATACGCCTCAAAAAAGAACTTTATGTATGTGTGTATATGTGCCTGGTTTTAGGCACGTAGTTAGACAGCCCGATCTTTCAGTTCTGTCTTATTGTTTGGCCTGGAATGCAGAATATAACTTTAACTATA